TAGGGGACTGGACGACATGGGGACACTGACACTGTGATACATAGGGACACTGAGACACTGGGTGACTTGCGAGACTGAGACACTGGGAGACAGGAAGACACTGGGAGCAATCCATCTATACAGCAGAATCAAACTGTGAGTAGTTTGTTGGTGATTTTACAGAATTTTCTCTGATGTCACTCCTTGTGATTTACATCATGTGATGTCACGCATAACTAATTAATTATACAAATGAATAAGGCTGGAATTTTTTTCCAAGAAGGTGGCAACCTTAACTGCTCTTCACATACTCTTGCTTAACCCCTTAAGGACACATGACATGTGTGACATGTCATGATTCCCTTTTATTCCAGAAATTTGATCCTTAAGGGATTAAAGGAACACTATAGGGTCAGTAACACAATCATGTATTTCTGACCCTACTATGTTAAAACCACCACCCTGGCCCCTTCTTGCCTCCCTAAATATAGTAAAATATTACTTGTATTCAATTCTGCAGCTGCTGGCTCAGAAGTGGTGGTCTGAGCAAATTACAATACTTCCCCATAGGATTGGCTGAGACTGTCAACTAGGCAGAACAGGGGCAGAGCCAGCACAAGTCCAGCATAGCCCTGGCCAATCAGCATCTCCTCATAAAGATAAATTGAATCAATGCATCTCTATGAGGAAAGTTCAGTGTCTGCATGCAGAGGGTGGAGACACTGAATGTCAGTGCTGCACACTAGGCAGTACTGCCCCAGGAAGCACCTCTTGCAGCCATCTAAGGAGCGGCCAGTGGAGTTATTTTCTCTGAAAAGACAGTGTTTACTGCAAAAAGCCTGAATGGAATGATTCTACTTACCAGAACAAAAACAATAAGCTGTAGTTGTTCTGGTGACTATAGTGTCCCTTTAAGTTTGGAAGCTTAAGAGGGATGTATGGGAACAAAACTTGTGTGCACTGGCTGACATTAAAATTAGTTTAGGTAATGCAGACGTTGGTCTCTCTAACACTGTGGCATGTCCCTTTTCTTCTACACTCACTACAGACACCTTTTCTCTGTCTCAGACTATATACCAGGACCTTCTGCCTGCTAGTAAGAAGGTAAGGAGACAAGTGGACCAGCGAGTGCTAGGGGACAGTCCTTAGAAAGAATGGAGTGAGCGCATCATTAGATGCATTTATGTCAAGCTCAAGGTGCTGCCTGCATAGTATGCCCTTAGTTGGCCAGCCTGCAGGATTGGCAGGCAGCCTGACATGCATTCATGCCAGGCTGACCTTCCAATTCTTTGGACAAACATGCTCCCTTTTTGGGCATGTTCACCCCTTTTGGCAGGTCTTGTCACATGATTCGCGCCAGTGGCACACCCTTTTACCCCGCCCATTGACTTCCTGCTTCGCTGGACACTGCTGTTAGGGGTTATGGATTTACTTGAAAGATGAAAGCATAAATTAGAGAAAGATTAGCATAGAGTGTTTGTTTTCTTATAGCTGCATCCTATGAGTTTCCCTCCAGCACCATCTCCATCAGATACATGATGCTTGGGAGGTATGACTGTTTTAGTGTTTTTGGTCGATAAGATTCCGTAATTAGGCCCATCATAATTGTCAGCACCAGGCCCACTGTGCTCTTAATCCGGCCCTGACCACCATGGTAACACTACTCCAATAGTCAGTCACATTCCTACACCCGGTGGTAAGACCTAGTGCTCTGCATTCGCTGACCTAGGCCGCAGGACTTGAGAAACATAGAAACATAGAAACATAGAATGTGACGGCAGATAAGAACCATTCGGCCCATCTAGTCTGCCCAATTTTCTAAAAACTTTCATTAGTCCTTAGCCTTATCTTATAGTTAGGATAGCCTTATGCCTATCCCATGCATGCTTAAACTCCTTTACTGTGTTACCCTCTACCACTTCAGCTGGAAGGCTATTCCATGCATCCACTACCCTCTCAGTAAAGTAATACTTCCTGATATTATTTTTAAACCTTTGCCCCTCTAATTTAAAGACTATGTCCTCTTGTTGTGGTAGATTTTCTTCTTTTAAATATAGTCTCCTCCTTTACTGTGTTGATTCCCTTTATATATTTAAATGTTTCTATCATATCCCCCCTGTCTCGTCTTTCCTCCAAGCTATACATGCTAAGATCCTTTAACCTTTCCTGGTAAGTTTTATTCCGCAATCCATGAACCAGTTTAGTAGCCCTTCTCTGAACCCTCTCTAAGGTATCAATATCCTTCTGAAGATACGGTCTCCAGTACTGTGTACAATACTCCAAGTGAGGTCTCACCAGTGTTCTGTACAATGGCATGAGCACTTCCCTCTTTCTACCGCTAATACCTCTCCCTATACAACCAAGCATTCTGCTAGCATTTCCTGCTGCTCTATTACATTGTCTGCCTACCTTTAAGTCATCAGAAATAATCACCCCTAAATCCTTTTCCTCATATGTTGAGGTTAGAACTCTATCAAATATTCTGTACTCTGCCCTTGGGTTTTTACGCCCAAGATGCATTATCTTGCACTTATCCACATTAAATGTCAGTTGCCACAATTCTGACCATTTTTCTAGTTTACCTAAATCATTTGTCATTTGGCTTATCCCTCCTGAACATCAACCCTGTTACATATCTTAGTATCATCAGCAAAAAGACATACCTTACCATCAAGACCTTCTGCAATATCACTAATAAAAATATTAAAGAGAATGGGTCCAAGTACAGATCCCTGAGGTACCCCACTGGTGAAAAGTCCAAGCTTCAAATATATTCCATTAACTACAACCCTCTGTTGCCTGTCACTCAGCCACTGCCTTACCCATTCAACAATATTGGAATCCAAACTTAAAGATTGCAGTTTATTGATAAGCCTTCTATGTGAAACAGTGTCAAAAGCCTTACTGAAATCTAGGTAAGCAATGTCTACTGCACCACCCTGATCTATAATTTTAGTTACCCAATCAAAAAAATCAATAAGATTAGTTTGGCATGAGGAGTCTAACTTCGCATCGCTGCCCAACACCCGGAAGGATCACCCTCTTCAGGGATCCCGAGGTCGGCTCATGGGAGAGCCGGATCTGAGGACGCATGATGCAGACCCGAGCAGTGACCTGGAGCTGGCGGAGCGGCACAAGCCACGTTTAACTGACTGCTGGGACTTAGAATCACACTCAGCCAGGCCGGTGGTAGGAACAGGCTGAGGGATCATTCGGGTCAGCTAACATGTATGAAAGCCTCTAGTCTTGTAACAACCAATCTGCGGAATGCTCGATGCTTGATATGAGCAGCTTCAGTTGCCTTTACTAAGTGAAATGTTATGCCTGTCTCTCTTGTTGTATATTGTTATTTTATTATTATTTATTTAACCATAGTATGTCACATTAACGTCTATCTAAGACTAGTTAGTGGTTGAAAACACATTGGTGCATTCCTATAACGCAGGCCTAAAAATGCGTGGGTAGGACGCAAATTGCAAATTACCATTAATTTGCTTTCATACCAGAAAACATTATATAGATAAATTATTTACAGATCTTAATGCCCCTCACTGATATTAGAGTGAGGGAGGTAGGAGGTATTTATTTATTTTAAAAAGGGACCCTTAGCTACCTGGGAGGGTTGGACTCTGGCAATGTCCACCCCCCCATTGTATAAATATTTAGAGACCTCACCACCACCAATGCGAGTTTTGTAGTGGTGACACTAGGTGTAACGGCACCCCCAAGTATAGGAGGGGTTAAAGCCGTTTAGGACATTCCCTTCCCGAACACAAAGGCAGCTACCGAACACTCCAATCAGCCAAACAAGCAAGCATACGCATAATCCACACTCCAAACAGCCGAACAGGAAAACCATACAAATACTCCACACTCCAAACAGCTGAATAGGAAAACCATACGAATAATCCCCCCAAGTACGAGATGAGGCTCTGTATTGAGGGTCAAGCAGGAATCTGTTTAACCTGCCTGGCTTTTATGCAGGTCTCCTACCAGGTGGACACTTCCCTAGGGTACCTGGTGGAAAACTGGGACAAAATAGTACAGTTGACCAATCAGAACAATGCAAGAATAAACACTCCCCTTTGGTTACCGTGGACCCTCCTCTCTTACTGGGAAGTAACTCAATTATCTCAGAGGATAGAGGACAACTCCATTTTATAAACATAGAGAAAAAATGCATAAAAATATATCATTCACAAACTACCGAATGCAACACCCACAGTTCAATCGCCATGGAGCCAAAGTCTTTCACATAGTCTTTTGTTATACGAATGGGCCCCATGGGATAGCTACCTGGGGTGACTCGGTTCGTATTGCAAAGTACTGAACGGTACGGCATTCGTATGAATTGAAGAATAGAAGAAGGGAGGTCGGCGGCTTCAGTGGTGTTTGTGAGAAAATAATGTCTATTTTAAGTTCCATGAAATCGTCGACGAACACTGCTGGGCATTCGTATGTCCAATATGGCCGCTGCCACGTGTTCGTTCATACGAACGACGACCACCCAGCCGACATTCGACAATTAGGAAGTGTCTGCGGTCAACCACAACGTTCTAATGAGGCTAAGAGGTTAACAAGCAGCACACATCCATGCTGGGTGGCCGGCTGTTCGGCAGTTCTTTCGGTGAAACGGGGAAATAGCATAGGGACCGTACGGACAGGGAAATAGCCGAACAAACAGACGAACAAAGGAGGAATAAAAGTAGTTTAAAGACAGAGGTGTCTGTCACACTAGGTTTCCCACAATATTATTGATAGTACCTCCACCCATCTCCTACAGGTGCATGGACAGTTATCAATGTAACCCCCAACTCTGCCCAGTCTCTAGTCGTAAAGATTTAGTAGACATGAATTCGGTAAAAACTGTTTTGCAAAATATTGTTGAGTTGTAACTAGAGTTGAGCGAACCCGGACTGTAAAGTTTGGGTTCGTACTGAATATAACTTTTTTTTACCCCGGACCCGAACACAGACATATCACAATATGTTCGGGTTGGAGTTTGGTGTTCAGCGATTTAATGGCGCATTTTGAAAGTCTGCAGGGCAGCCAATCAACAAGCATTTGACTTGTGTGCCCTTAGAAGCCATCACAGCCATGCCTACTAATGGCATGGCTGTGATTGCTCAGTGCAGCATGTGACCCAGTCTCTATGAATAAGCTGGAGTCGCATAGTGCCGCACGCACATGATGTCTTATTAGTGTAGGGAGAGGATGCTGCCGCTGTGAAGGACAGCTTAAGAAAGAATTCTGCAAGTGGGGTGCACTTCATATCTGAGAGTCAAATAGAAGCGCCAAATACCGCGGTTACATCGGAGTTTTAAAAAGTCAATTTTTTTGGGGTGCTAAATAGTACATTAGTGGGGTGCACTTCATATCTGAGAGTCAAATAGAAGTGTCAAATACTGTGCTTACATTGCAGTTTTAAACCTTCTAATTGTTTTCGTGCTAAGCTGCTAAATAGTAAATTTTGGGGCCTGCTCTTCATGTCTGAGAGTCAAATCGAAGCGTCTAATAGTGCGCTTACAGCGCAGTTGTAAACATTCTAATTGTTTTGGTGCTAATCTGCTAAATAGTACATTTTGGGGCGTGCACTTCATATCTGAGAGTCAAATCGAAGCGTCTAATACTGTGGTTACATCGCACTTTCAAAAATTTTAATTTTTTGGTTGCTAAATAATACATTTGCGGCCTGCGGTGCATTTCTTGCAGTCCAATAAACTAAAAAAAAAAAAAATTTGTTGACTCTTGGTGGTTACATTGTCGCCTGACATAAAACATCTGTTAGTTTGGTTTGGTTAGTTTGAGAGCGTCAAATAAAGGACGTGGCCCTGATCGTGGTGCTGCTGGTGTTGGTGGAATCTCTGTTGCAAGCAGAGGACATGTTCGATCTGAAGTGAAACACCTTCCTCACGTGCGAGTAGGCGACAGAACCTTCAGCGTTATTTGGTAGGCCCGAATGCCGCTCTACGAATGGTGAGAACAAGATCGCCAGAACAAGTACAGGCGATAGTAGATTGGATGGCTGACAGTGCCTCCAGTTCCTGCACATTGTCTCCCACCCGGTGCCCTGCTGAAAGCTCAGAGGTGGCACCTGTAGCCCATGGCCATCTGTCTATCACCTCACCCCCTTGCAAATCACCCAAGCAGTATGAGC